TCCCAACTATATTGTAACCCCACTTTATCGGATATTTAATTATTTAATTTGTCTGTACCTCATCATCATCATTTATTAAAGGCAATGCTTTGTCATTGAAGTGATTCCTCTCGGTTTGACGCCAAATTCTTCAGTGTCTGTACCTATAAACCCAAAAGTTATAGAGAGAAGAATACGTTTTATTCTGTGTTATTTTTAACTTTATTTTGACTTCATCGTGAAAATGGNTAACTTTATTTTGACTTCATGGTGAAAATGGCTACTATGGTTTCTTATAATAGTGATTTTAATCACTGTTTGATATCATTTATTTTTGTCTGAACTATGCCACGTCTATGCTGTGCCGCAACCCTACTGCGCTGCAGTTTTTTTTATTATTAAGTTATTGAGAGAAATTTAAGAGACAACGCATTAGAAACAATAACTTAATTCAGAAAAGTAAATAAAATTACATTTTTATTTTACTGTTCAAATTTTTTAAATCCAACATTAAAACTCAAATACTAAAACACCTTTTTTTTTTAATCTACTCTAAAAATTATTATTTTGATTTAAATTTTAATACATAGCTGAGAAACTGCTACTGGATTTACTCAGACGTGTTTTTTTTTACGCTAATTACGATTACTAGGCTTCTACTAGACTTACTAGATTTTACTTTTTTTTTTTTTTTACTTATTTCGCAAATTTTAAATATATAAAATAATTTTTTTCAATAAATTAGAAACATATTATTATTAGTGATTTGTTTATAGTTCTTAAGTCCAATAATTTTTAAAAAGTAACACAATATTTCAGTAAATCAAAAGTTATTAAACTTGTCAAAACATTATGAACCAATTTATATATCCATAAAAACTGATTACCCTGCCTAAATATTAATTTTTATTTATTCAAATTAATTACTTTTTATTCTAAAAACTAAAATTACACTAAAATATAAACAATAATTATAAGCTTGAGTCAGATTCAGAGTACGGTGGTCTATTAAATGATGATATATTGGGGTGAAATTCGTCATTAGAATCAAAGTCAGAACACTTTTTCACAGGTCTCAATGTTCTAAATCCTTTATTACAAAAGACATTGTCAGTTTCATCATCACTCAAGTCAAAAGCTCTTCTAACAATACATGACTGTGATTTTAATAACTTTGAATTTTCCATGCTATTCAAATTTGTTTGATTTGCTGTTTCTTCTCTTAAATTAAAACTGCTTTTTCTTTTGAAAAATTTTTGAAATTTTGAACGTTTTTTAACGTTTTCATTGTCTTTATTTAGAATAATATCATCTACAAATTTATTAGAACAAAAAGTCACAGCATTACCACATATTTCCAGGAACCCATCTACTAGTTTTTCTTTCATATTACTTTTACAAATATATAAATACATTTCTTCCCTTACATCATTCTTACATTTTTTTAGATTTTTGTGTTTGGATAAAATATGTTTCTTCCAATTATTTATTTTAGTTTCGAATGATAACTCGAACAGTGAATTTGAGTCTAAACAATAATTATATTATTATAAGTATAATCATAAATCCTAATAGAAAATAAATACACAATTATAAATCAAATAAATAATAATATTTGTAAAATATATCAAAAAATGTTATTTTACTAAGAAATTATTGATTTTTTCATTTATGAAAAATAAGTAGTTAATAAATTTAAGAGTCATGATAACATATAGTGTACTTGGAAATGTCAATGATTTTAATTATCTTTACTTTTCTGAATTGGTTATAGCCTAACAAAATAAAGATGAAAAAGAATCATAATCTACTATTTTCGTCCTTAAATTATAACAGAGGAACTGTATTTAAAATAACTTAAATGAAAATACTTACGTTATGATAGTGAATAATTATCGTTATGCAAAAAAACTTATGATGTAACATTTAATAAAAGAAATAATACGTCATATAAAATTTTTTGTTTTATTTTATCGAAGTTTAATATTTTTTCATGCGTAAACTAAACACAGATATAAAAGCAAAAACAAAAATCAGCACCATTATAGAAAGAACCGAATAAACTTTTATACCAGATCTATAGATTAATTAGTAGCAAGTATACTTACTACTAAATAAATAATAATGAAATTATCTAATAATCCATTATATAAAAAAATTAGGCCTTCAAAAGTCATATACCTTAAATCATCCATTTATTAATTAATTTTTATATAAATTTACTTACTACCTTTAGAACCAATATTCTTCATTAAATGACGGTCATTTAAGCAAATGAATAAGTTTGAAGTAGAGATAGTATATTCTGCATATAAATCCCAAAAGAACTATTTTTAAATATAATATTTTACTTAAATATATATATATATATATTGGCCATCATTAAAATAGTTTAAAATGTATAATTATTGTCTTAAATGAATATATACTTACAAAATTTAACGTTATAATGATTAGTGTGTACTTCATTATTTAAACCTTTAACATAGTAAGTTATTAATGAACATCAAGTTTTAATATGCATTAGAGTTTTCATTATAGTTCATTGTAGTTGTACTACATTTTTATTTTTGAAAAGTTAAAGTAACCGAATGAAAATCTTAATTCAACCGCAAATCATTCATTCTATTTAAATTACTGCATCGATTTCCTTTTTTCTAATAATGTGTTATTGTTAAAAGAAGAATTTACAAATTGAAATAAACAACAGAAAATATGATGTTACCCATATCCACTAAATCTCACAAATTCTAATCGAAGTTCTATAGAACATTTTAAAAAACATTATTGAATACCTAAATAATCTTGATAAACACTATTTAGATTAATATTAGAAGTATTTAAAATTTAATGGTTAATTTTCAACAACTAATTCCATATAATCTTGTCTCACTAGTCCTGATTAAAGTTGATAGATTAGATTTTGATCAATAGATCAGAAGTAAAATAATTGATCTCACAAAAAATTATTCAATACATAATTGTATAAACCGTAATACCAAAAATTTACCTTAAACGGAACGTTTTCTAAAAAATGTTTCATTGAATTTTACAAAGTCATTTATTTTATTGAAAAATTTATTAATTATAATTTTTAAATAGTCAGACTTAAACCTTATTCTTTATATCTAAAAAATAATAAGTTATAAACTACTTATATAAGTTAGTTCATCTGGTAGAACGTAATTATCTAGTAAACAAATAAAAAAAGTTACCGTTAAATAAAAATGTTCAACATAAATTTACGTTTTCAATCTTATTTCATTGCTTAAAATATGATAATTTGAATATTTTGTAAAGTAGAAAAAATCTTTTTACTACTTTTTCATTAAAAATTAGTGTTTTAACATTATTTATTATGTAAATATGTATTTTAAAGCTTTCAAAAATAAAAAAAATGTATTTACATAATTGTTATTTTTATATGATAAATAGGTTCTGCAAAATATAAATTCTAGACTATTTTTCATTACATGATTTATGATACTTTACAGTAATATGTATTTGATTTGATCGGTAAAAAAATAAAACGTCAAAATTAGCTTCATTTAAAAGAAATGAAATTGAAACACACTTAAAAACTGATTAATTAGAAATATTTGTTTTTAATTCATAGTTTAAGTACTCCATCATAAACGTATAAAAGTTAGCACTAAATGTTGTGTCATAAAAAAACAACATAACAAGGCGTAAATGCCCTAAATTCTTTTTACAGAATCAAACTAACTAACACTCGTAATATAACATAATTAATGTAAATTTCCCTTATTAATACGTCGCTTCAGTACGTCAATGTTTTATAATTAATTTATGTCAAATATCTAATAGAAAAACGATTGTGAGAAACATTATATATATTTTTATCATTATAAAGTACTCTTAAAATGGTTTAATTTGATAGATATCAAAAAACGCGAATTCCGGAACATTTTCAAAAATTGAGTTAAAAAAAAATATTTTTCATGCATTGATGGTTTTTTTCAAACTACTAATGTACATAGGTTTTTCATCAAATTTTCTTAAAAAGCATACAAAAAAATAATCGTTGTCTCTTTTATATTACTTTAAAATTTTATTACGATTGGTATATTTATAAAAAATAAGTCTTCAAAAGCAAAAATAAAAATGGGATAATGCCATTTTTTATGGTGTTTAATCGTGAGGTATTTTTCTAAATTTTTAAAGTATAGTAGGTTTTTTTAAATTTTCGGTATTGATGAGTTCAACTAAATTTAAATCAGGTTCCATTGATGTATTGACCACTAACGCTGAGAAGCAAGAAATTTTCATGGATAAACGTAAAAAAAAACTCGCACCATCACAGAAATTTTTCAGCGCTGCATCAAATTAAAAATTGTGCTTAGTATATTAATAATGCAACCAATAATTTTTAGTAAAAAAATTATCCAACAATTTTCATGACTTTTTTTTTAATTATAACAACTAATGATTCATGAATTAAAAATCCACAATTTATTTTAAGGGAATGGATAAAATAAGAATAAATTTTACTACCTACATCAATCAAAATTTTCAACAACTACTCAAAATTTCTTTATTAAATGCACCATAAGTAAAAACTTTAATTAAAAATTACTCATTCATGTTACTAGACAAACAAGTTCAAAGTTAAATTAGCATACTAAAAATATTTTTGTAATTTATATGCTATAAAATAAATTACACCCAAAATCTTTAACAAACAAAAATCTCAAAAATACGACACAAAATTAAACAACACTTTTTTAATGATAAGAGTTTTTTTACAAATTTAACATTAGGAATATTATTTGTAAAATTTAAACGATAGATGACAATATTTTTATAGCATCCTAATGTTGTAACAGCACATCAAAATTTTTTGTAAGAATAGAGAAAAATATTGCTATTTTTAAATTTTTAAACTTTAAGAAGTAACGCAATTTTCGCTAAATAAAATTATAGACGTCAATACCTGGTGGGACACTTGTATATACAAAATGGAACAGATCTAAATCACAACTTTTATAACTTTTAATGCAATAATAAATTCGATTAATAATATTAAAAATTTGTAATTATTTTTTTATTCTTTATATATAATATATATTGAGTGATCCTTAACTTTTAAACTCAATATTTTTATGATAGTACCCTCTAGATTAGTTCAGTCGTTTAAGAAATAAATGTAGGCGAAATTTGGAAGGTTTTACTCAACCCCTTTTTGTGCCGCATTGGGGTTGAAATATGACAATTGAGGGTAATTTTTTTTCTTTTTAGAGTTTAACTCAATAAGTATTACACTTACATTAAATTTATAGAACTTATTATTACCTACAAAAAAAGTATTCGCAAAATTTTTTATTCATCAATTATACTTTGAAAAATATAATACATTTCCAAAATTTAGCATAAATAGTTGTTTACAGTTAATGTAATATATTTACTACTAAGTGGTTATAGGTACTCAAAATTTTGCATATAAAAATGATTCTAATATTTCTTATAAACGCTATAATTATACGTTGGATCAATTGATATAATTGAAATTGAGAATTTAATGATTATAAAGTGACACGGCCACAGCGTTGTCACACGTTTGACACCCAAATCAAATCGCCACCGCAATTTCGGTCATCTTTTTGTTATTCTGTCGACGGATTCTTAGTAGTATTATTGTTACTTTTGGTTCGCATATAATCTTTTGTGTTACAATTCTTGTTTTTCTCATTAAACGGCTCGACGCCACTTGGAAAACCCACCAGTATTACTTATTTTATTCACCATCTACTTTTCCCGTAGCAAAAGTATAGATACAATGAATATGTATCTTACGAGTATTATGTTTATTATTAAATGTACATAATTTACTATGGCTATTCGTTGAAGATAAAATTGGTTGACATTATTTTTATTTGTGTTGTAGCACGTAACGATAAAAGTTATCTTTCAAAAATGTATTCAATACTTCCATTACTGCTTATTATTATATCAAATTTTTAGTATTGTTTAAATAATAGTGCAGTGAATAGCTTCTTTTTTTAGCTTCGATGCGAAGCTGAGAAGGTATTAATTTTACTATGATGTGTTTTTTTTTTTATTTTTTTTTTATTTTTTTTTTT